AACCCTAACTATTCTATGATTCTAAGATAATAACTCAGTGGAGACTCTGACACTTGGGCACAGGCTGAATGCGTTGCGCTGTTAAATCTCCAGGTGAGAATTCCATGACCTGATGCTAAAACAAACCTTACTAGAGACACTTCCCTCTTTTCCCACCCGTGTGAGCCCGGCACTTACTGCTGCCTGGCGAATTCCAGATCCATTTGGTGGCTCTGCAGAGCTGCCTCCATCTGGCCCATCTCTACCTGAGCTTTCCCAATGCGGCTGTAGAGGGCTGCGATCAGCTCATTCCTGTTGGGAAGTTCAGCCTCTGACCACCCTTGTACCTTTTTCAGCACATGCTTGGCTTTCTTGCAGCTTTCTTCAGGGGAGTCGCTGCTCAGCACTGGAGAGAAAAGAGGGAAGTTTAATGCTGCTGGGTGGACATGGTGATACTGGGCAGGTAAGGCCGAGCGCAGCTGGATTAGCCTCGACAGACCTTGGGGCAGGTTATTGCTCCTCACTGTGCACTACTCCCTCCAGTCTCCAAGGAATCTGCCCCTGGGAAACTGCACTACTGGGAATCACAGCAAGAAAGGGGAAATCATAGACTATGGGTGGGAAGGGACCTTAAAGCTCCTCCAGCTCCAACCCCTGCCCCGGGCAAGGACACCTTCCACTAGAGCAGGTTGCTCCAAGCCCCTGTGTCCAACCTGGCCTTGAACACTGCCAGGGATGGGGAATTACTGGTAACATCTGTTGTTTGCTTGCTGAAGAAGTAGTAAAGCTTCTTGTGTGAAGGTTTTGAGAGCTCACAGTTGGGGCTTACCCCCCACATTAGCCCCTTGCACGTCCCTGTGAGCTCTGCTCCTTGTACCCAGCTGGGCTGCAGTGCTGTGGGAATTAGGCTGCAGAGTGTTTGCCACCACCCCTCACTAGTGTAGCTTAGAAGAAGGAAATTGCAGTAACAAGTAGATGATTCTCCCTGGGTTGTAAATATGTGTCAGAGGACAAGAGAAAGAGCCCAGCAGGGGCTGAATTGCTCCTTCCTTCAGACCAGGAAGTACAGGAAAAGGTGAGGAAAAAAAATAGGATTCTAGATTGAAGAAAGTGTTGGGAAAGGTGAAGAATCCAGCAGCAAATCCTGCCCCAAACGGCCCACTCGTGGTTGTTAACACTTGCCCTGCTTCTGCGGCTCTGTACTTACTGTAATTCCTACAGCACATGAGCACATGTGCCAAACCTCATTTCCCTACTGCTCCCAGCCAGGACACCTACACATGTCAATGTCCTCCACGCTCTTCTCAAGGTATCTGCCAACCTCCAGGGGTTTCTGTTTCTTGTCCCGGGTCCACCTTTGCTGCCGGAGTTTGCGCTCCCTCACACGGGCGTAAATCGGCTTCTGCTGCTGCCAGAACTCGCTGCGGGTCTCCAGGTAGGAAATGCCACCCAAAACCAGGTCCTTTACCTTGATCCCGTGCTGTGTGCTGCTTTCCATCAGATCTGGAAAGGAGACAGAGGAACCCAGAGAGTGTTAACGTGTGCGATGGACGAAGCTGCACTTCTCCTTCTCTGATAGAGGGTCCTAGAAACCAAAGCCTTGGTGCTCCTCAGAACTGGTGTGCTGAGGAGGGAAGTCATGGAAAGCTCCATTCCCATTCCATGCATTTTAGTGAGCTACTGCTGGTGTTCCCAACCCCTATCCTGGAATTTATCAGGAATCATTATGGCAGAAATTATTTGTAATGATGCTGTTTCTGCTTGTGAATTCATCAGCACAGATTGCTTTGACTTGATTTACTCTTGCTTACAAAAGCCTCCCATGTAACAGGGGAGGAAACATGCTCAGAGTTAGGATCTGGCTCCAAAAATCCCTGCCTCTCTCACGACCACCACAAGCACTGTGTGAGCTCTGGTACAAACAAGGAAGAATAGCCACAGGGATAGAAAAGAAGGGGAAAAAAAGAACCTGCTTGGAAGGAACATTTAGTTAAATACAATGGAGAAAGAAAGACCTTTGTCATTGAGCAGCTTTTCCAGGTAGGCCTTGTCAGCATAGAGCTCTCCAAGCAGCTCTCGCTCTGTCCTTGGGTTCCTCACAGGCTTCTGGTTCTTTGTCCGTTTTTGGTTCTTAGTCAGTTTGATTTGGACTTTCTGATTTGCCTGTTTGCACTGCAGCAAGGAAAAATGAAGGCAGTTGGGAGAGGTTAGTGGGGAACACCGGGATTAGCAGGATTCTCATTACACTCCATATAAACCAACTCAGTTTTAAAAGCAAAAAGTCAGTGTCTCGCCCATTGCTTTGGTCATGGGCAACTGTGATTTTGCACCCAGTTGTGCTCCCTCACTTCCAGGAGCATCCCCTGCACTGGCTTCAAAGGGAAACGTGGCATCCTGGGTGCTCCAGTGCACCCCAACGTGAAGCAATCGAGAAAGTGCCCATTATCAAACATGGAAACCTTAAATGTCAGGTAAACCCAAAGTAAACACGAGGTAAATGTACCCTGGCTCCGACCTCGGTGCTGTTACTCATTAGCCTGTGGTGGGTGAGCAGCAACACCCGGCAGCCACGGTGGGGCTGGCAGAGGAATTCCAAGCTGGGCTTTGCTCCTCCGTGGCTGCTCTTTCCTGCCCTTCTACCTCCTCCTTCACATTCTGAGTAGCTTGAGCAAGAGCTACATTAAAATCAGGTGCATAAATGCTCTCGTGAGGGGTCATTGTGCTTCCGGTGCTCAGAGACCAGCCTAGTCCATGCTGCTGCAGAAACTACTAATCCTCTATTGCCTGTTTCAGAAAGAACTAGTGTTATAATAGCTCCAGTTGGCTCCTGAAGCAAGAGCTCTTCAGACCTTACCTCTGCCTGTTTGCTTATAAAGCACAGATTCCCTTTATTCTCCAGTTTAACTGAGGATGGAGCTGCAAATGCAAAGAAAATAGTGGTTAGTGTTCAAGAACAGCAGTGCAGAGGCTTTAGAAATTGAAATGACCGTAAAAGTGCCAAGCCCATAATGTCCTGTTTGAAATAAAGCCTTCTACTCATTCCTTCACATGAAATCTGTGGTCTGCAAGCAGGGAACACAGATCAAGAGATGCAGCTCCTCTTGGGATTTTAACTACTGCTTTCACATGGCACCAGGGGGCTCCCATGACAGTGCAGTTTTCCTACTGCCTGGAAACAGAGGAAGGAAAAGGATGGCAGGTTCGGAGGGCTCACAGCTGGCACTTAAAGTGGAGCTCAGGCTCTAAGTACAGGGGTGTTCAGTCATCCAGAGCAAGTCCCATTTCGTTTTCACTCTGCCACCCTGTGCTGCTGTTCAGTCTGTGCTCTGGCACTGGAGGGGGCAGTGAAAAGCAGCTCTGGTTTGGGCTGGTTGGAAGGAAGGGAAGAGCTTGAGATGCTGCTGAAGGGTTTCCTTCAGCAAGGCAATGGGGCCGGGGCCAGCAGCGCGTGTCCACGTGTGTCACGGAAGGCTGGAGTTTCTGAATCCGCCAAAGCAAAGCAGTTTTGGGGATGTGCCCTGTTAATGTGTGCACATTTCCCAACTATTTAAACAGCCAAATCAAACGCCAACATGTTTCCTTTTCCCCTGCATCAAGGGCTATCTCTTCTCGGGCTTTAATCCGTTCACTTCCCTGCGGGGTGGCTGCGTGCCCAAGAGCAGGAGCACGCTCTGCCCATGCTCATCGGTGCATGACAGCAGCGTCAGGAGGAAAACTAAGGGAAAAGGGGCAAGTTTGCTTTGAACATCACCTGATCCTTGGCCTTTCCTGCCTCCTGCAGGACTCCAGTCTAGGATCCAAGCCAGAAATTATGAAAGCAGTTGCTCTAGAGTCAACAGTTTCACCGGACTTATGCAACGTGAACTGGAGGGAAGTCAGGACCTGGGGAAGGCCAGTCTCAGGTAGCAAGGCAAATTCCATTACGAACTTGGAATTTTGGGACAAAGATCTCCCAGTGGAATCTGTAATCAGCAGTGCTGCAAGTAGGATCTGTGTTACCTAGGTCTTGATGGTGACTTTGGACATTGAAGTCAGTGTCATCATTTACTTCCATGACTGGAGCTATGAGAACTATACATGAACAGGCACTGAATTAGAACGAACGAGGAGCAGGGCTGTGCACTTTTTGGTGCTTCCTGGTTTCACCTCAGTGACCACTGAGCACATGAAGGCAAAGAGATGCTTGTTGCAGGGTCCATGGGTGCCTTGCAGAGGTGGTGTGCCCCCAGGCAGCCTGGCTGGAGCACTCACCTCCGATGCAGTTGATGATGGCTTCCTGGGATTTCTCAATCCCCAGCTTGAACTTGTGCAGCTCTGGACGCAGCCTGTAGCCTCGGTGATAAAACACTAAAGCGAACTCAAAGTCACCCATGGTGTACAACGTCTCAGCTTTCTGATACAGTCCCTAAAGTGACATTGGGAAACAAGAAACAAGTAAAAAGAGGGAGTGGGAAAAGCTTTAGGAGATCCCTGTTAACTGCCCTGCAGTATCCCAACCTGCCTACACTAAAATCCGATCCTGGAGCTCACTCTCAGTTGCTGACCAAGCACCTCCACCTCCCTGGAAGCAATAACACTGCTGGGGCTGTGCGTGGAGTGACCTGTGTGTGCACAGTGCTGGCTCCCAGGCCCCTCCGAGTGCCCCGTGGCCACCCCAGGCTCTTCCCGCTTCCTGCTCTTTACCTTGGAGAAGGTTTTGTCGTTTTGGAGAGAAGCTTCAGCATCTTCCAGGGAGCTGCGCGTGTCCCCCAGGCGCAGGTGGCACCTGGAGCGGGCAGCGAGGCACTCCTTGTCGCCTTCGCGCAGCTTCAGCGCCTGGAACACAGCAGGGGTACAGCACCAGTGCGGCGACGTACGAGCGCGCGGGAGCAGCCTGCTCCGTCCCCGCACGGGCCTTGCTGGTGGGTGAGGATAAACCCACGTTTTCACCGATAAACAGATTCTCCTGCTGTTCACACGTC